ATTTACATACTATAGTATCATGATACAGTCGTCAGATCGACCTGTTATATTTTTTTTTTTTATAAAAATACATATTTATGCTATAATATGTCATAATTTAACTTATATTATTTTTAAAAGTATGACATTTTGATTTAAAATATACTAGTACGATACTCGTGTACTACATGGGTAATTTAAATATGTTAAAATTTGTTCAATAAACAAAAATTAAATACTTCACATTTTTTATTGTGTAATTATCAATAATGAATATAAAACAATAATAAATAATTAACAAAGTGATAATTATTTTAAAATAGTACCCGTATTTTTACAATTAATTTGTCAAAAATAAATTTTTAATTATATTATTAATATTATATGATATGAAATATCATACTATACCAGCTTTAATGGATAATAAGGAATATACTAGGAATAAACCTACAATGGGCTAAGACACATGTCATAATGATATTGCTCAAGCTAAACTTGGACACTAAGGTACACCTCCTCTATAAAAAGGGCCTAATGTATCCCAAAAACACATTCTCTCTATATTCATTACTATACTCTCATATTGCACTTTATCTATAGCGAGTGCAGACTTAGGTATCAGAGGTTCGACGCCGGAGGCAGTTCGAGTTGAAGGAGTCCAGGTGAAATCCATTTCACTAACACCACTGTTAAGCAGAGGAGAAAACCCAATAGCCAAAAGAACCTTCTTAAGGTAGATGGGACTAGATGTGCTAATGATCAAGAAACATCAGAGACCTTAAAGCATTATTTCCACAATCTCTTTAGAACCTCTAACCCAGTAGTGAAAAAAATGTTGCCTTGAGTCCGAGTCACCATGACTAAAGAGTTAAATCTGAAGTTGACTAAAGACGTTGATGATGAAGAAGTTAGAACGACTCTTAATGAGATGAACAATGAGAAAGCTCCAGGGGCTTATGGCATGGCTGCCTTGTTTTTCAAAGCTCTTGGGACATTGTTAAGTCTCACCTTTGTGTTGTAATCAATTTTTTTTTTCTTAAAATGACGAACCCCTAAGGGAATCAACCATACCATCATCAACACAATTCCTAAAAGAAACCCATCATTTGTTTCTGATTATAGGCCCATAAGTCTCTGCAATGTTATCTATAAACTCATAACCAAAATCCTTTCCTTGAGATAAAAAGCTGTCATGCACCTTTGCATTTCTGCCTCCCAATCAGCCTTTGTGACAGGTAGGTAGATCCTAGATAATTGCCATAATTGCAAATGAATGCATTCATTTTCTTAATAGCAAGAGAAAAGGCAATGAGAACTTTATGGTTGTTAAACAAGACATGTCTAAAGCTTATGATATAGTGGATGAGAGTTTTTTGCTAGGGTCTGTAGAAAAATAGGGTTATGTGATAAATTTGTTTTTTGGAGTCTAGCTTGTGTTTGTTCTGCATCTTTCTCTTTTAATGTGAAGGGTCAGTCTGTTGGGTTTGTACAGCCTAGTAGGGGTCTTAGGCAGGGGGACCCTCTGTCCCCCTATATGTTCATTTTGATTAATCTATGGTTTAAAGACAGAGTTGGAAAAGGTGATCCTATTGTTCCTCATCCTTTT